GCTGCGGAGCCTCGGGGTGGGCCTTGTGCTCTGCTGGCCGCGCCCGCGCCCAGCGCAGCCCACAGGTGTGCGCCCGAAGGCCCGAGTGGTCTGGACGGAGCACAGGTGGCCGCGGGGCGGGGGGGAAGGAAACGGACAGGTGCGTGGGGCCGGGGAGGGGCAGGGTGGGACTGACCAGCGGGCGCCGGAAAGGGGCGCAGACGGGGCGGGTTGGGAGGGGGCTGCTGAGCGGACACGTACTCCTGGCCTGGGCTGCAGCCCTGCAGCCCCCTCGGGCTACCACTCCTCGCACTCTGCCGGTCAGGCCCTGCTGCCTGGACGGGGGGGGGTCACCTCCAGACACTGCGTACCCCGAGTCCTCAGCATCCCCTAGGAGAGCCCGACAGCAGGGCCCCGGACACGCAGGTGGCGGGTGGCTGCCGGCAGGCCTCGCTCTGCCCCTGGGCAGGCTGGGCAGTGGCGGGCAGGCCCGGGCTGTTGACTCAGTGGCAGTGACTGAAGGCGGCTAATGAGGCTCAGGGCAATTAACAGACAGTTGAAAACTAATGAGAAGGAAGTGTGAGACCAGGCTCATTAGCGGCCCTGGAGAGACCCCCCAGGACAGAAAACTCAAGCTCAGGCCAGAGCTGGAGGCCACAGTGGCAGGGCCCTGGCTGACCCCGGCGGGGGTGGGGTCTTTAGATCTGAGGCCGGGAGCTGCCCGTGGGGAGACCGCCAGCAGCCCCTCTCCCACGGGCAGCAGGCGCCCCCAGGAGAGCCCCCCAGCCAGAGCTGACTCCCAGCCGGGGCTGGGCACACCTGGCGGGCACCGTGCTCCAGGCGGGCCCTCGGCCCAGACCTCTGGCTCCGCGGCGTGGGCTCTGGGGGCTCGGGCCGGGGAGGGGTGCGCAGACACACGAGCAGCCCCCCACTTGGGAAGGAACCGCCCCAGGGGCTGCGGCCTGTGCCGAGCACACCTAGCAAATCTCCTCGGCTTAAACCCAGAGAAACGAGACGGCCATGCGGGTTCCTGGCCCCTCGTGCCCAGAGCCGGACAGTAGAAACAGCCCAGACGCCCACTGCGGACACCCAGATGTGCTGCCAGGGCTGCAGGAGCGCTCGGCCTGGAGCCGTTTCCTCAGCACCTTGCGCGTCCAGCTCTGGAGAGCCGGGTCCCCGCCGGCCTGCGCCCCCCGCCCCCACAGGATGGTGTCCAGCCCCTGGCCCCTGCCTCCTGAGCGCACACTCGTGCGCGGGGCGGTAAGGGCTTGGGGTGCTGGCGAGTCGGGCCTTCCCAGGGGTCAGCACCCCTTCTCCGGCCGCGAGAACGCGGGGCCCCTCAGGCTGCCTGAGGAGCACTGTGGGGCCAGGCTAGAGAGGGGACCTCGTCCCTGGACTGCCACCCCGTGGGGAGCGGTGTGGCCGGCCTCCGCACCCAGGACTCGGCCGCCTCCGCGGGCCGAGGTTGCCACGGCAGCCGCCTGGGACTCGTCCTGCCCTCGGGTGGGTGCGGACAGGGCACCGGTGGGGCGCGGCCCCGCCTCCCGGAACCAGCTGGGGCAGGGGGCCGCTCTGTCCCGGGGCTGAGTGCCCAGGGCCGCGGGCAGGCTGTCCAGGTCAGCCGTCAGCGTGGGGACTCGGGTTGGGGCACCGTGACCGCTTTGCACCCCCAGACCGCGAAGGGGTCTGGAGCAGGGCCAGGCCCGGCAGGCGCTGGCCACTCTGCCCGCCGCCAGGGGCCTCTCCAAGGGGGAAGGGCCGGCCTGCTCTGGCGCGCATCGAACACCCCCCTTCAGCGGCCCTGTGCCCTCGCCACTGCAGCTGGGGGGGCAGGAAAGGCGGAGGGGGGGCCACGGGGGTGGGGCACAGGGCGTGAACTCTGCCGGACCCAGGAGTCACAGCCTCCTGGGGAGCAGCCTCGGCCTCCTGGGGAGCAGCCTCGGGCCCTGCACCGGACGTCGCCCCGGGGGCCTGACCACAGGCCGGCAGGTCAGCTGGCCGCCTCCAGCTGTGCCCGCGCTCGTGGGTTCCGAGCGCACTTGCCCACTCCCCAGCCTGCCCGGGAAGCTCCTGCCTGGGAGGACCTGCAAGCCCGCGCCGCGGCCCTCACTGTCCACACAGGGCTGCGGGATGGGGGCGGGCAGGCGGCTCCTGCCGATGCACCTGCGGGCTCCGCCGCTCAGCGGGGGCAGCCGC